CTCGCGTGGTTCTGCCGCCCACTCGGCGCCGCGCCGCTCCGGGCCTCCCGCCGCAGCGCGCCTCGGAGGGGCGAGCCCTTCCGTGCCTGCTCGCTGCCTTTCTTTTTAATTTGCTGTTTGCCTTTAATTAGGCTGCGAAGGCTCTGCTGCCTGCGAAGCCCCGCTTAAGCCGCCCCCTCTGTCTCCGCGCCCAAATTAGCATCTGCTGCGGCCGGCAGCGGCCCCGGCCCCGGCGCACTTCGCCACACGGTTCCCCAGGGCATTCAAACATCCTGCGCTGCCACCGAGGGACGGGGAATCAGCTATTCTTCTCTTCCCATCATTACTCACAGCCTACAAGCAACACCATATGCTTCTTCTGATCAAACAACCCGCTACATAGGCACCAGTAATTGACGAGACCTGCTCGAAATCACGCAGAAAGGTAGCCCACTGAGACCGCAGGAGTTGACAAATCATTGCTAATAATCCTTTTAGGAACATCACGGGCGTCAGAGTTTGCAATAGCTTTATTTTTATAAAGTATGCCTTGACAGTATAAAGGACGATAACTTCTCCTTTGAACCAGAGGACTGTCCTGCATAATGATCTTCAAAGGGGCAGATCACATAGGGGAGGAAAGTGGCTTGATGAAGGCCTTAATTATTATTATTTTATCCCCTTCTTTGGTTCTAAGTGTCTCGGAGACGTGGTAGGTTGTTTAAAGAAACTATTGCAAGATGCACTGGGTAGGAAATTACTGCTGGTATAAGCGTTCATACCCTAGAAATAAGGGTTCATATGTAACTGGGGGGGGTGGTGGTGTACCTACTGCACTCCAAATGATTACCCGAGCGCATGTTTACTTTTAAAAAGTAGAATTAGGACCAATAGTTCACAGACTTAATCGGGTTTAAAATAAATAAGACAACCAAAAACAAATCAACAAAACAGCAATACAAAAAACCCAACATAACAGGCCGTATACCCACTCTCGATTTGTAAAACATAATAGTCGGACAGACCGACTGAAGGAACAGCTACAGCCAGCACAGAGGGACATGCCTATGTTACGCTGTTTCTTACGTACACACTCTTTTGAACGAAAGATACAGCGAATTTCGTTATCAGGTTGGAAAAAAGCTCTCAATACTTTTTCTTTCATGCAGACAATATCTCCATTGACCGAGCTAAATAAAAGATTACTGAGGTATTTTTGATTTTGCTTCTTATGAAAGCAATAGAGTGAGAACTTTATCCCGACCCTCTTAACTTTCTGGGCTGTTTGTTTTTCTTGGCAGCCGATCTCGAAGCCCCAAGACGGTGGCTTTAAATCCTAATTCTACTCAAAAGCAAGACATGCTTTAGGACGCTGAAGTCTGGTTTTGCCGGGCAGACGGGACTGTTGCTGCTGCCGTGGAAGTCAATGCCAAGTTTACCGTCGCCTGACCGTGGAGGAGAATCAGGCCCAGTGTCGGACGCGGCACCCGCAGCCTTGGGTGGGCAGGGGCGGGGGGGGGGGGGGGGGGGGGGGGGGA